TTTCATCTGAGCTGGGTGCTTGCTTGGGTGTAGGTCTACTACAAAAATGTTCTAACCAATCAGGAACATTTTGTGTTGCAAGCACTTTTTTGTAGTGATCTAACTTGTCTTGAATTATATCTTCATTATCGGCAAGATCAGCTTCTATCAGACTCAATTCGTCTGGGTCAGTATTACTGACAAGGAGTATGTTCCTATAAGACTCTATTGTATCCTTTACTTGGTCATATTTTTGGCTAGACACCCTTGTGGAAATTTTTAGCCTGAAGATGTCAACTGAATCAGTTCCTAAACAGTTGTTACATTTGTCAAGTAGTCTTGACAGGTGATTTTGAAGACCTTTCAAGTATCTTCCAGTTTTTTCTGGAGTAGCCATTCTGACTGTGGATTTGAGCCTTATTGGGCTTATATAGCTACTTGGACAGCTATGGTACTTTGCTCATATATGTAGAGCAGGTATAATTATTGACAGCCTGATATTTTCTTGAGACTGATTGTAATTTACCTCATTTAGAGGTTAGCTACCTACCTAATATTAAGCAACTAAGATTTGAGTGGTGCCTTGGTCTCACTACAGGTGTTCCTTAGCTTAGCTCTTCAAAATCAGCCTTGGATGGGTAGTGAACTTACAGTAACACTCAAAGATAGACATAGAAATATGTAATAAAATGTAATTACACAATAAATGGTTAATCCCACCCATTAGGGTCAGCACTACATAAAATAATAATGCACCAGCACTGTCTAACAGTACTAGTCAGGAAATAATCCTACCTATTAATGCAGCTAATGGTGTAGACTGAATTTGTACAAATCTTAGTACCGTGTCAGTCTTAAAATATCCTACCTCTGTTGGGTTGGCATAATAACTAAAATAAATGTGGTGCAATAATGTGCAAAATAGTGCTATGTTTTTGGATTTTGTAATTTTATATTATATACACTTCAAGAAATTTTGTGTATAAGAAATTAAATGAACACAAGATTATTAACTGTGTTTGGCAAGTATTCTACTGCCATAAATAATATTTAACACCTGAATGTACTTCCTAATTGTGGAATATTATGTTATCAGGGTTAGTAATGATTAATTGATTTATGGGATCAGTAATTTGGATTAGTATACTGGATCCTAATATGTTAATGAATTCACTGACTGGAGTGAATCAGTAATTATAGATTGAATTGATTAAGGCTATAATGGGCAGTCTGCTGACAGCCGTAAATTGAAATATTGTATAGTTAACACATAATTGGTGTTAGTGATTAATTAATTATGGTTCATCTAATCTAGTTTGAACCTTAATTATGGTACATCTGGTTCGAAGGACCATATTTTGTGTGAGAAAACTTGACTCATGTAATTCATTTAAATTGATGCTAATTCGATAGCTACGAAGGACCTCCACTTTTTAAAGGAAAAGTGGAAACTGGGTAGAGCAAGTGGTTTACTGCTAAATCCATGAACTAGTGTCCTATGGATATTATTAATAATTATTATCTTGAATATATATTGACTGTAATTTATGAATCAAATCTTCTCACCCAAAATGGGGGGTTAAATGTCAAAAGACTATTGCATCCGTGACATCATTTCAGTGTGGTTTGATCACTGAAGTAAATGAGATAATTAATTGCAAAATTGTGCAATGATAACTAGAGGTGAATGGGCCTCAAGATACTACAATAGCCTAGTATTACTACCAATGGTTAGTAACATGAATATTGAGTAATGGTTAGACAAGAAATTTATTCTCATTTGAAGTTCATGAGGCTATCAAATTGTACTTGATTTCCTAAATCATATAAATGAAATATTCTTAAATAATTATTATTTATCAACCATTACTTAGTGAAATAAAACTAAATTGAACTGGTTCAGCTGCTTAGCTGTGACAGTGAACTGAGATGCAGAATTGTGATGGCGTCATCTGGTGCTTACTGGACAACGTGAGCCAAGAGCGTGGCGTGGGAAAATGTTGAGACCACAACCAAGAACGTGGCGTGGGAAAATTGGAAAAAAAATTACTTGTCGTTTGGGGAGGTCTTATGGTGTAACGATGGACAAAGTGTATTATAAAATTGAAAGAGCTCAATTAATAATATGAAAACCCTTAACCAGCTGGTTGTCCACTGATGCAATCCTTAGATTGCTACTGGAGCAGTTGCACACTCCTAGGCCGATTAATTGCAAGGGCCTATCGTAGAATTGTTGGAAATTTGCCTCTCCCTGGACGCTCGTGTCGTATTTGATGGCGTCGCTAGTCCAGCTCCGACTACTGCGAGAGTTGGGTCGCCACTCATGGCGTCGCCACGCTTCCGCCTCCCTCAACCCTCTCTTATGCATTCGCAATAGAATTTAGTAAGGACGGATAATTCTTTTCCGTGTAATTACTTTACATAATGCGTTAATGAGAACAGGGTTGCAATTGTAGGGAATTAAATATTAATTATATTCTCGCTAAATGGTGTTAATCATAAACAGCGTTCTTATTAACGAGAAATGGATAGAATTTCAATTTTCTCCATGGCATTTGGATATAACAGATAAAACTGTTATATAGCGATAATTTTAGTTAATAACTCGTGGTTATGGAATCACTTGTCGTAATATTATCAGAGACTATAAAGGCTATATTATCAGAGACTATATTATCAGAGACAGTATTCTTATAAAGAATACTGATAAAAGTTGAGAATATTATTCAATTCTCTAACATGTTGGTAATAATTATGTCCTGCTGGACATTATCTGACGCAATATGCCTCTCGATGTAGTGAGAATTTCAGCAAATGACGTGCAGATAGAGAAATAATTATTTATATTAGTACTACAGTTAGTAGGGTTAATAAATACTGTAGTTAATACAATAATGATATATTGTAATACAAGAAATGATGTATTAGTGTTGGAAACTTTCCAACAAGGACGGCTCTGCCCCGGATCCTGGATTTTGGGATTTCTGGGACTGAGGGGGGAATCGGCTTGGGGCGCTTGGGCCCCGTTCGATCCTGCCTGAGCTTTGGTTCCCTCAGGGCAGGGTTTGCTGTTGCAGGGTCGGGGTTTCGTATCCTCCTTCCCTGTATGAATCTGATATGGGTTCGGCTCTCTCTCGGGTTTATTTCCAGTTTTTTGGGGGGTTCTGCGGCTTCGTCCTTCCAGAGGTTTTCCACCACGGATTTTCCCAGCGGAGGTTCATGAGGTCCTTGGTGCATACCCTTGGTGCACTTGGTGCATCCTGGGTGGATGTCACTTCGGCTATATCCCTAAGCTTTCTCATGCATTTTTCCACCTCCTTCCTGGTCATGCGCCATATGAGCCATCCTGGTCTTTGGATTGTATGCTCTCCTTTCTCTCTTCTACTCGGTTTATTGTGGACCTTTGGTCCAAGATTGTTTTCAGAAGGCTTTTGTTTTTGTTGGTTTTGGCTTTGGGGGATCGGGTAGGTGAGTTTCATGCTCTCCTCCAATCGCCCGAAGTAGGTGCTCCTGCTCTTTCAATCCTGGTGGATGTTTTGTTCGTTTTCAGTTGGCTCCTTCTTTTCTCCCAAAGAATGAAACAGTGAGCTTTCTGAGGGGTCTGTGGGTTACTGATGCTTGGTTGGTCAGGCCGGAGGTGCATCATGTTTTGAGTCCGGTTGCGGCTCTTCACTGTTACCTGCGCGCCTCAACTTCTGTGTCCGGGGACGCGCTTTGGGTGGATCCGATTTCCCTCGTTCCCTGTTCCAGGGTTCGAGTCTCTCAGGTCGTCCACAGGGTTATCAAGTCTAACCAGCCTGAGGTCTTCCCTCAAGCTCATGTTGTTTGGAAGTTTGCAGCTTTTGCTTCTGTCTTTGGGAACATGTCTTGGGCTGACATTCGGGCACAACGGTTTTGGATGTCGAACAGGGTCCTGGCTGCTCGTTATCTCGTGAATGTTACATGCCCAACTGTAACATGTTATGTTACAACTACACATAAGGGGCATAACTGGCCGACCCCTCACAGTGTTCAAGAGAGAACTGAATAAGCACCTCCAAAGGATACCTGATCAACCAGGCTGTGACTCATACGTCAGGCTGCGAGCAGCCGCGTCCAACAGCCTGGTTGATCAGTCCGGCAACCAGAAGGCCTGGTCGACGACCGGGCCGCGAGGACGCTAAGCCCCGGAAGCACCTCAAGGTAAGGTAGGCCCTCAGTGGTCTTGTGTGGCCTTGGGGTATCGTTTGCAGCCAGTTGTCCTGTCTTTGTCATGAGGCATTCAGTGCTCCCACCTCCCCTGGTAAGTCCCTCTTTTACTTATCTTTGGGTATCTAGCTTCAGAATACCTAGATACTTCAGGATATCCCCACAGAAAACCAGCGTTGAATGTAATGAAACGCTGGGTGGCTCCCTGGAGGCTCACTTCCTCCGGTCAGCGGTTTTTATTCCATTTGCTCAGTTTCCGAACTGGTAAGTGCACGGCCAGCTCGGCCGGGAGAGGGGTGTGGGGGTGGCACAAACAAGCGGCATGTCTGTTTTATGACAATGGCTGTTCTGATTTGCTTGTTACCTTGTTTTTCTTGGCGGGAGTTCTTGGTTTCTGTTCGGTTTTGGGTTGCAATTTTCTACCAAAATGTTTGTTTTGTTTGTCTCTAGGGTTTGTTTTGGGGCGCCTTCTTTTCTGTTTGCCTAACCCCGGTCGATGGCAAACATGAATATACTCTCGAAGAGTGAAGTTTCATAGGTCAATGCTTCCTGTTCCTCTCTAGATGAAGTCAGGTTCTGGCTCATGGTTCCCAGTAGGCAGAACTCCATGTGACAAGCCCCAGACTAATTTAACTAATATCAGTCCAAGAGCTTCAGTCAGCCTCTGGGGCTTGCCCAAAAATTGGCGTTTTATTATCTTTGAAACATATACATGCAGATGCATATGTTTCGTTGCATGTCCTAATTATTATATTTATATTTTATAGCAATATTTTTCAGTTTCAGTCTGTGTCTTTCATACATGACAAAATGTTTTGTTTTTATACATACAGGTATATACCTCTGGTGAAGCAACTCAAAGCTATGACAAAGCAGTTTCACTCTCCACCACAATGGGAAAAATGTGACTTGTTAGTTACAGTTGGGTGTCAGGCAGGCTTGTCTATGGCCTTTGAGATGTTGCTCAACCCTGGGGACTTCATCGTTCTTTCAAACCCCTGTTACTCCGACGTCCTCTGTATGGTAAGTAGACTCTTCCCACTATACTAAAGTACAAAGTAGTTTTACTAAAGTAGACTCTTCCCAATAATTCTGCAGTTAAAATGTGTCCTTAATAAGCGTTCTTGTTTGGAAGTTATACTTTGATACGTCAGCTATTGACACTCTGGATGCATATTTGTGACATGACCTGTCATGTGTTACCGGTAATATGTTACAGTAAACAGCTCAATTACTATACTGTACAAATTTTTCTTGTTTAATTAATAATTCCCAGCAATTGTGGTAGCTGCCTAAATCATCAGGATTTAGGCAAGATCAGCATTATCAGGATCTATGTGCCTCTAACACATTTGTAAATTTCTTTCTTATTCCCTTTCCTTTCACATTTACACTGGCCCATGGTATGTTCGACACGGGCCATGCCACAATTTAGCCAACACTTGGAACACCTTAAATGGGCTGCCGGCTATTATTTCGACTTCAAGCGCTTCACTTAACCAGTTCTCAGACCATGAGAACTGGTTGAGTTCCATCCAGCGGTCGACTCCAAAGTCGCTTTCATAAATTTTAACATGTTGTTCATTCAAAACAGGAATTTTCTCAAATATAAGTTAATAAATTTTTATACTATCAAATTGTACATATGTAGGCATTGGTTAGGTTCTGTTGGTTATTATTTGTATATGTAGTATGCGGGTGAAGAATTTACAGCATTTTGGTTTAAACAAAATTCGTCAGTTGTTCATGACGAAGCACTTATTCCGGAAGTGTGCAGACGTCATCAGTTGTGAGTGGTGTGTAAACCGTTTTTCATTCATAAATAGAGGGGGTTTGGCAGGTGCATGGAATGGACTTTGGGTCTTTATTTAGAGGACAGGGTGCTTCACTGATATCCCATGGATCAGGTTATTGCCCAGATACTTGAAATCTAAATGCCGGTAATCGAAGAGCAGTCAATCCTAATAACAAGCCTGCAAGCCGAAGCTAGTCTCTCCCTCCGGCGGTTTTGTTGTAGCTGCAGTCCCACCTTCGGCTGTTTTTGGAGGGCACCGGGGTCACTCGTCGGTTGTTCGAGCAACTGCACGGGAATCTGAACTTCACCATGCAGGTCTACCAGTCGGATCGGACCTGGCTTCAATGGCTGTTCTAGAACGGACGTCCATTCCGCCGCTCTCACAATCACCGGGTTCAGACCACAGGGACCTTGCAATGGCTGCTGCATCGCTGGCTTCGTCTTCGGGTTTTTCGGAGTTCAGTGCGGTGGTGCCTTCCTGAGCCCTCACTCGATGTGTTCACGGATGCGTCGTCTCTCAGCTGGGGCTATGTGACTAGTGCTTACCAGGCCAGCCAGGGTTGGTGGGGTCCATCCTTCCGTCGGGCTCACAGCACGGTGCAGGAGTTCGCGGCGGTGTGACATTTACTTCAGAGGGTTTGTGTCGCTCGCAGATCGACTATTCTGCAAGCGACAGGATGTTGAGGAGCGAGTGGTGGCTGCCTCCCGGTTAAGTCCCTCTTTTCCTTTAGCTTTGGTTAGATAACTCCGAGGAGCTGAAGGGGCTCTCCCACAGAAAACTAGCGTTGAATGTAATGAAACTCCATTTTCTGGGTAAGACCCCCCTCCCCACCGGTCGGTGTTTTTTCGCATTTTTTATATTCAGCCTCTGAACTGAGGTTGGGTAGCCAGCACGAGGGGGGTCTGGGGCTCCCCCTTACGGGGAGGGGGGAAGTTGCGCAGGCAGCAGCGCGGTGGCTGTGGTGACGTTATGCTTGTTTGCTTGTTTTTGATTGGGGAGTTCTGCTTGCTAGTTTGGCTTTCAGTTTGCAATTTTTAACCAACTGTAGTTTGTTTTGAAATTCCTACCTTTCTGAGTGCCTGTCCTGGTAGATGGTAGACATAGAGTGCTTCCAACTACACGGGGGTGTCGTAGGCCATTGCTCCTCGTGCCTCTCTGAGGGTGGCCAGGTTCTTGCTCTAGTTTCCGGTAGGCCTAGAAATTCATCGATTGACTGTTGCCACGGTCTAGTATATACACATCAGCGTTTCATTTCATTCAATGGTGTTTTAATTAAATAATGTATTATTTGTATGTATGATTGTATTGTTATATGTATGATATACATTCAACATCTGATATCTTAATAACGTCTAAAATTTCTATAGTGACAAGATTTTATTGAGAAAGATATCAGAATATATGTATATCAAATACATTATTTAGTTCAGATGTGTGTTGTATTCAACACACACTCTCCTTTCCTTACCAAACAAATAATTGTCAAAGTTTAAAAAGTCATTATTATAAAAAAATGATTATGAAACAATATATTACTGGTATAGCCACCTAAGAACTTTTTAAAATGATGTTCTTCAATTCTAATATATTAATAAGAGCTAAACCTCCCTGCTATGAAAATAGATTTAAAGAAGCAAAAGGAAATATGAAAATCATCTCTAGCATCCTGGTATATGAAGTAGAAGCCTAGCATTTTGTCAGTGGTAAAGTAAACCAGTGTGTATTATACTCAGTAGTGGCCTTTCTTAAGCCCATTCATGTGTGCAATTCATATTATTTAAAGATCCCTAAACCCTCAATCTGATCACTAGACATATTTAAGCATTTATAAAAAATGGAGCATCATCACCTTTAGAGCAGAGGTAGACAGTTCCACAGAGACAAGCTTTTTTATGCAAATATGCAGAATTGTATTGTTGCAACACTTGAAAGTTATTCATTTATTGAATATGACCTTTGTTATTATGTAATAACAAGTGGTGGCACACACAGTTGTCAGGTATGGACCTTCAGTACCTGGCTATAGAAGATGATGCTCACGGTATGAAGCCAGACATTCTTAGAGCAGCATTGACGCAGGCTGTTGAGAGGGGAACCAATGGAGTGCCTAAGGTGAGAATACTGTATCACGTCAATAAAACTTCATTGGATGAGGTCATCATTTGTTTTAGTAGGTGCTCCATAGTAAAGAATAACACTTGTTGCACTGTACTATACAGTACTTGTATACAGTATTTAGTCATACAGTACTTTATTTCTGCACAGTATATAGTATAGGTTCTTGAAAATTATTGCTGGCAATTCCAGTTGCTATTAATGATTTGTATTCTTGGATCACATTGTTTTAGGCTTTATACGTGGTCCCGAACGGCAACAACCCAACGGGCACTACCATGGATATGACACGTCGTCAAGAGATTTATGACATTGCCCATGATTATGATCTTATTATCCTGGAAGATGACCCTTACTTCTTCCTTCAGTATGATGAGTACGAGGTAAGACAATACACTATATAAATATTTTGCAGAACATTATGGAAACATTTGGTACGAAATTTCGTTTTTAGTTACTATTTTGTTCCTCTGTGATCTCTTTCTCTTAGAGGATAGTCTTATGTAGTTCTCCTAGAGGATAGTCTTATCTAATTCTCCTAGAGGATAGTCTTATCTAATTCCCCTAGAGGATAGTAATATGTAGTTCTCTTAGAGGATAGTCTTATCTAATTCTCCTAGAGGATAGTCTTATCTAATTCTCCTAGAGGATAGTCTTATGTAGTTCTCCTAGAGGATAGTCTTATCTAATTCTCCTAGAGGATAGTCTTATCTAATCTGAACATCTTTACCATTGTGATCATTGCTGTCTTATATGTGCTGTCAATCTGCTGTATGGTGTCTATTAACCTTAATTAAATTACTAATCAAGCTGTCAATGTAATCAATTAGAGCTTTAATATAACAATGTGCTTTAATATACTTACTTATCTCTCTCATCTCATTTTTCTCTTGTAATGTATCTTTATCATTTATCAATTCTGATTGAAATTACCTACTTAAAATTATCTGCTAGATTAAGGACCTGCCAGAAACGCTGTGCGTACTAGTGGCTTTACAAGAATGTAAATACTGTACTATCCAATGTATTCTCACAAACCCAATGTACCTTCTTGTATATATATAAATAAATAAATAAATAAATAAATAAATATCTAATTCCCCTAGAGGATAGTAATATGTAGTTCTCTTAGAGGATAGTCTTATCTAGTTTTTCTTATATACAAGACTTCTTACATTCTTGAAAAGCCAATAGCACTTCGGGCTATTCTTTAATCTTAATTTTCCCTGGAATACAACCCGCCAAATCGTTTAACAACCAGGTGCCCATTCACTGTTGGGTTAATAGAGGCATACAGTTAAAGTTTGGCACCTAGTCAATCCTCCAGAATATCCAGGATATGAACCCAGGCCAAATTGCTTGTGAAGGGCGGGACGAGTTTGTTATCACTACGCCACAAGGACTGTTTACTAAGTTTTATTAGAGGATAGTTTTATGCAGTTCTCTTAATGGACAGTTTTATCTAGTTTTCTTAGACAATTCTCTTATTCTTATCTAATTCTCTTAGAGAATAGCTTTATCTAGTTCTCTTAATTTATATTCTTATCTAGTTCTCTTACATGATAGTTTAATCTAGTTCTCTATATAGCTTGTAAATGCTCTGGACAGAGGTTTTGAACTGTAGTAAGTGGTTAAAAATGACATCTGAATGAGCGTACAAGATGTCATGACAATGTGGCATACCCAACACACTAAATTACGAATCTGTAGGAGTTAGCTAAGATACTCAGAGAACTGGGCAGTAGGAGAGTAAGCAGTGTTAATATTGGATACCATACATGGGATGGCTACAGTGGGGACAAAAGTCCTGTTAATGTTTCTGTCCTTATAGTTAGACTAGTTCCATAGTAATGCTTATTTGTTTATAAGTTGTAACCAGATATTCATTTATTTTATTTTATTTATTTATAGTTCTTACATTACAAGAGTTCATACATTCCTGTACAGCCATTAGCACGCATAGCGTTTTGGGCAGGTCCTTAATCTTAATTTTTCCCAGAATATGATCTGTCAAATCATTTAACCAGGTACCCATTCACTGCTAGGTGAACATTCAGTGAAAGATTGGTGCCTAGTCAAGCCTCCCTAGCCAGGATATGAACCCAGGCCAAATCACTTGCGAAGTGCGGGGCGAGTGTGTTACCACTGCGCCACAGGAACTGCATAATAAATGCAGTCCTGTGGGATACCTGGGGCTTGACTCAATTATTTAATTTAATAACGAAGGACCACCCACTTTTGAGAAAAGAGGGAAACTAATAAAAATGGATCATTAGAAACACATGACCCTTCTGCCAAGTGTTCCCTATACGCTAGTCATCCCTACTATAATTCACCAAGTATCTACCTTTAGAAACGCTACCAAGAATCTATTCGTCAAAAACATGCCCAAACATAACAACAAGCAAGGTAGGGGTGCCTCTCGCTCTGGTTCCATTACTCCTAGAGTTCTGAATGAAACACTGGCAACGCCGCAACCCTCGCCGATGTTTGTAAACACAGCATCCGCTCCCCCTCCTCACTCCCCCCCCTTCAACTCACCTCGGATCTCTAGCTTTAGAATTCACTCAATCTATGGCTCCCTGTTTAAACTTCAAACCTCTCCGAAGTAATCCATGGCTCCAGAAACTGCACAACCTTGTGAAAATGCAATCAGAAGCTATTTTGGCCCTCCAAGACACAGTCACCCGACAACAACATACCATAGACCGCCTCCTTAAATCGTCGATGAACAACAACCAAGAAATTCTCAACATACAAACTGTTGCAAATGATGCAATGGATCAAATACGTAAGATTCAGGCCGAGGAAACCCTCACAGCTCAAAGTGACCTCCTTAAAAAGCTGGAAAAACAGATCAATCTCCTTCAGACTCACCAGGCGGCTTCCAAAGATGACCAAGAGCAAGCAACTTGCAGTCTCCGTGGTGTAGTGGTAAGACACTCGCCTGGCGTTCCGCGAGCGCTATGTCATGGGTTCGTATCCTGGCCGGGGAGGATTTACTGGGCGCAATTCCTTAACTGTAGCCTCTGTTTAACGCAACAGTAAAATGTGTACTTGGATGAAAAAACGATTCTTCGCGGCAGGGGATCGTATTCCAGGGACCATAGGATTAAGGACTTGCCCGAAACGCTACGCGTACTAGTGGCTGTACAAGAATGTAACAACTCTTGTATATTTCTCAAAAAAAAAAACAAAAAAAAAAAACAACTTCATGACTCCCTGATAATTAGCTCTACTGATCTACCTGTTGAACAACAAGGTGAGGATTGCTGTAACATAGCCAACACCCTAATTAATTCAAAGATCAGTGTCAATGTTCAAATCAAATCGCCTATTAGGATATATAAAAACAATCCCCGTAACAGGAGAATGCTCATCAAACTTGCAAATCCCTCTGCGAAGTTTGACCTCATACAAACAGCTGCTCAGCAAAAAACCAACCTCTATATAAATGAGTGTATTACAAAGCAGCGTGGATCCCTCCTCTACAGGCTGCGCCAAATTCGCAAACAAAACCCTGGTCTTATCAAGCAGTGCTACACAAGGAATGGTACGATTTTTGCGAAGAAAGAAGCTACAGGAAAAAGATATGAAATAAAATGTGACCAACAACTCCTGGCCTTCTTAAGTGATTGTGGTATATCTGAAAACCTGAACCCGACCAATGCCACTACTTAAAATAACTCTTTCAGTGCCTGAGCCTAACCTAACTTAATCTAACTTTGTCTAAGGTGCTGTCTCTGCCTTACCATTTACCTGATGTTCTCCTATTCATATAATTTCCTAAATAATCCATCAAGTCTCCATGCACTTATGCAAGCATCTACCTCAGTTTCATTGTAAAATTTTACTCTTAAATCTAATCTTACCCTATTCCATTTATATTTTAAATTTATTTGTATTGATCTATGTCATTTTTTGAAATCAATTATTGATCTCATTTTTGTTCTTTTAATTAAGTTCATACTAATTATAAGTTAAAACAAGTTTATAAGTTTATTATCTTTAAGATTATTTTACTTTACAATTATCATTTGTCAAATTTTTTTATATATTCATCTTGACAGTCTCTACTGATTTTTTGTTCTCTCCGCCAAACTTGTGTATCCTCCATGGCTATCTAGTGACCTTAATTCTACCTCTAATTGTTTCAATTCCTTGTTTGCTTGCATTTATTGTTGTGTCTTGCCATAATTATTCTCTAATTTAGCAGACTCAATACTTTGTAAGCTCTTATTGTATTGTTATATTATTATATTGTGTTTTGCTATAATTACTTCCTATTTTACAGCAGATTTATTTTTCATCTGTTCATGTAATTGCTTATCTTATTGTATTGTGACATTCTTTTCTATATTGATATATATTTTCTGTCTATTGTTACTTACAGTGTACCTGAGAGTACCTGTAAGCAATCTACCTCATTTTTCATTTTTGCTCAATTTTTTGTATTGCTTAGTCTTGTTTATATTTTTGTTTTGTATATCTATATCTTGTGTTTTGTATAGTCCATGTTTATATGTTTTTTTCTTTAATCTCATTCATTACCTAGGTTTCCTAGCCTAGCCATACTCCCTTACTCCATTGTACCCCTGTAAGCCCCTTTTGTGTTTGTTTGGTACAGTATTGTGTACATTTATTTCTTTTTGTTTTTCTTGTTTTTCCTGCAATCAGCTTTTTTTATGCAGTCAAGTATAGACCCAGAACTTAACCTCTTATCCACTATCTATGACAATAATCACTTTAATGATCTAAATTGCAGATATTTTGCAGCACATGATGTAAACAATGTATTAACTCATAGTCACAATATCTCTGTAATCAATTTGAACGTTAGATCCCTAGGTAAACACTTCGATGATGTTAGTGCCTTGATTGAAGCTATTGACAACAAATTCTCTTTTATTATACTTACTGAAACATGGTTGAAAGATGATACTACTCAACTCTTTAACATGCCAAACTACTCAGCAATCCACAACTGTCGTCAACTTCAGAGAGGTGGTGGCACTGCTCTTTACTACCACCAAGATCTAACATGCTTAAAAGAAATTAGAACTAGAGACTGCTATGGGGAGTATATCTTCGCCAGCTTCAGAGTCAAGGGTGCCGAGTCTATCCTGTCTGTGGGTGCAGTTTATAGAATTCCTAACACTGATGTGTCCGAATTCAACTCAAACCTTAGAAATCTAATACTTGATAACAGACTGAACAAAAACCACCTAATTATCGCAGGGGACTTTAATATTGACCTCTGCGAGCCAGAACACCCTACTGCTGTTAGCTTCCTCAACTGTATGAATTCCTGCTTCCTCATACCCTTAATCACTAGACCTACTAGAATCACTGATAGCACTGCCACGACTCTAGATCACATCTG